CCCCAAAACCCCAAAACCCCAAAACCCCTTTAAGAATAGGGGAAACTGGGATGTAATAATTAAGATTAGAAATATGTCAATAAGTATTTGAAGTGAAGATAAGTGATTTGCTTGACAACAACTCTTTCCAAAGACTTATCTTCAATATATTGATGATAAAAGTGCTAACCTACAACAGAAGGAGAAGAGAGGAATCCCTCCTAAAAATGAGAAATCTGAGGTCCATTTTGAAATGAAGCTGCCTTTTTGTTACAACTGCATGCCAAATGAGAAAATCAAGTTGATTAGAAATAAGTTCGAAGTCCCGGAGATTTCAGAAGATATCTTTCATAAAACTGAAGATTCACATGGTAAATCAAGTAATGCTTTAAACAAACTTCTATTTCCTTGACAGATATGACTTTACGATTCCAAGGCCAGTGTACATATTTTGGAAAAAGAACAATATTTATATTATTAGCGTAACTCTTACCTTCAAAATCTAAAACCACTTTATAAGGCTGGATATTTTTACACTGAATGAGATAGTCTCTCCTACCACTAACTAAAAGACTCGTTCTAATACTAAAGTTGCAAGGATAAACGCATTCTCTCGTAAGGAGTAAAATGTCATACATCAACACTCCTACATGGACTAATTAAGAAATCCTCTGAAGAAATTCAGAAATTTTTATACTTTTCATAATCCTTTTGAGAAATTTGGAGTTCTTGTAATAATAGGAAAAATTCTTAAAGAAATCAATTATTTTCTCTAGTAAAAATTAGAAATAAATTGCATTGGTTTCATCTTAGTTAAAGTTTTTACTCGAAGTGGTAAAAGTTGTAGATAGTAAAGAGGTGGTAGGTTTTGATTAACAACAATAACTTATAACACTAAAAGGTAAATAAAAACCTCCGCCTCAGTACTACAAACTGAAAGTAACTCTAGCATGTTAAAATTCTATTTTGCGGTTTGTTGTAATTATGTGCGCTCCTTAATCCTGTTGATTTCCATCTCATATTGATTTAGCCAAGTTGTTATTACCCCCTTCAAAAGTTTCAAAGAGTAAACAAAGAAACACTTCTGCTCATTTGAATAAATCTAATTGATGAATTTCTCAGGGAGCCGGAATAGGAGGAATAAGGTAAGGATGACAATTTGAATGGAGTAGTGAAAAGTCTGTTATCTTTGTTAGAAAATATATACAGAGAGGTAGAAATCTCTATAAAGAAGTGTTAAAGGCCTCTTAAGAAGCTTATTATACAGTTATTATCAAACCTAATTATTCCTAGCCCAGTTCCACAAGCAGCCTCTCCAGCCTTAAAGCCCATTCACCACGAACAAATGAGTAGAAATCCAAGAACTGTAAACCTGGGAGGAAGTACTATTGAGCGTAAAACTGTGAAGGAAGTCAGGAATAGATCTAGGAGTCATAGAAGAACGTAAGGAGTTGGATATGTGGGGTTTAGATGTAGTATTAGATTTTGGTTGGTTGATATTTTAGTTCTTGGTTAATAATTGAAAGGGTTATGTTTTATGTGTTTTGAGATTTTATAGCTTTGCGAATTTTTCATAATATATAAAATTGAGATTTAAGTAAGTCTTCACTTATCCATCTTCATGAGTAATCAAAATTTTAAAGTTTTCTAATCTTGAAAGTTCTTCTTATCTATTATATTATTTATTAGAATTTATACCAGTTAAATAAATTTTTACCCAGATGTTAGAACTAGATTATTAAAAATAACCCAAAGATACCACAATCCTTAAAATAGCCTATTATTTAAATAAAATTAAGAATAAACAAGAAATCTCGAACCAAAGTACTTGTATGAAATAAACTTCATCTTGATTCTATACTTAATACCATTCTCAACAACACAAACACTCTAAAACTCCTACCTTCCCTCTCCTACACCACCCCTAGTCACTCACTGTCACCATCCTGTACTCCTAAACCCGTTCTTTTCCTCCTAAAATCCCTCAATTCTATTTTTATCTTCTGTAGTTTCTGTTTGTTTTAAGGGTATGATATTTTTCTCAGAGAATTGGTGAAGGGATAAAAAGTTTGTTAATTAGGGATTTTTTAGGGTGATGAAATCCTTCAGGAAGCTAGAGATGATTAGACACGATCTTGGTATGAGCTTCAGTGATTATTTTGTAGAGGAGCAGAGAGCTAAAGATAAATTTTTTAATGTTACCTCAGACCAAACAGGTAAATAAACTTATCCTTTTGAATAATTCTTATTCCAGAATATAATAACTGGCTCTTACACCGTTATAGATTTTGTCAGCATGATGGCCAAGTACTGAGAACCTGAGTAATCTCTATAGGCGGCTTAGTAATAAAAGGGATGGAAGTGTCCATAACCAAGAAAATCCTCAGCTTCATAAAAGCCATGTACCTAAGAAAGTTTCATATTTATAGAATGTGTTTTATTTTAAGGAACTTGATAAGAGCAAAAGTGGCAATATAGCTAAACCTTCAAAAGGAAATAAATTTAAGATTATAAAGGTAAGTTAACACTGAGTAATACATCACTTAGGTTAAGAGAAAGACAGATTTGGGCATGAACTCAAAATCTAATAGCAAACACTTGACAAAGCTTACAAAGATGAGGAGAAAGAGCATATCGAGTTCTTCTGAAAGTTTTTCTTACAAAGAAAACTCTAATGAAAAGGCCAATGCTAAAATTAAGTGAGCGAACCTTCAAGACTATGTCTAACAGATGAAATAGGGAGAGTAGGATACCCACATTAAGTACAAACCAGATGACAATGAGTACTCAAGGATTTTTGAATATTCCAGTTATAAATATGGAAAAGTGAGTGATTCATGATCCATTTCTAATTTATGAATAGTTCAAAAACTCCGACCAATCGAAATTCTCATAAGGCAAAAGATCTTTGCAGCAACCCCTTGGTTAAAAATCATTCTTCAAGGAACACTAGCTCCATCATTGGAAGGAGGATGGGGGAGCACCTATCTGTAGTAGGCCCTCAAAATACTAAAATTTCTGCTGACTGAAGTAAAAGTGCAACTGTGAAGAAGTGTCCAAACCCTAGAAAATTTAGTTTCTTACAAGTTGAGACTAACAACCAATCTTCAAGGTAAAGATAGGTTTAGATGGTATACAATAGAAATAATTTCATTGATAATTATTACCTAATTAGGAGTAATAGCACCCCAATGGCTCAATAATTTATTAAGCAAAGCATATTCTCGAAAAATTTTAACTAGGAAGAGAAGATAACTAATATTTTACTGCACTTCTGTAGCAAATTGAATGAAAAATACATTTACCATCAAAAAGCAGAGATTTATTGATCCATAGCGATTATTTACCTTAGTTTTACATTTGGCCTTTCATCAATTGTAAAAACACAGTGGAACACAGTCTAGTTCCGTCTTTAAATTTTGGATTTATCTGACTTTTTTGTCTATTCTTTAAACCAACATAGAAAAATAAAAAACTATTCTAAAATCTTTAATTTAACCATTCAATTATTTAGAATTAAGAATCCTCCAAAGTCTCAACTAAAACCAGACTTGAAGCCTATCAAGAAACCTAAGAAAACTTGTGTGGTCAATGAGATCTTTTATTCGATGTTAAGAGTGGATGACTTGATATCTTCTCAGCCAGCTTCTTCTGAAACACACAAGCAGATGACTGCAATTAAGTCTTACCTTGGGAGATATTCGGATCTCTTTAAGAAAACTCAAAGTGAATTGCTCCAAATTGAAGTGAGAGAAGCAGATGACTTATCTCAACTCAGCCAGTTCTTTGATAGAATAAGGAAAGAACTTGACTCTAAAGAAGAACTTCTTAAGGCTAAATACAAAAGTATGGTGAACTCTTATGAAACTTCACTCAGCATGGACTTGGAGTTCCTTGAAACTAAATGAAGACACTTATGAGAAGTCATTGACTCAAACTCTCAAAAATTACAAACTTTTACAAAGATGAAGTAAGGAGACATCTTCATACTTTAGACCAAACAGTTCTGAAGAAATCATGAACAGTTACAACCTAGAGTCAATCTTATTGAAAGAAAAAGCAGGGACTTATAAGCTCTCGCACAAAGACTTTACTGTTCAAGCTGAGACTTCATTCCAGTGCCCAACTGTAGAATGTAACTTCAGAAAAGTTAGAGATCTCATCAATGAAATCAATGTGATTTCTCACTCAAATCCTGAGTGTTCCAACTCCAGTCGAGAAACCTTAGGAAGTGCGAAGAAGCTGGAGAATACTAGCAAAGGTACATTACTGTATCCTCATCTATAGGTCCAGATACAGACTGCAAAACTCACTACAGTGTTAGACTAGATGTAGAGCACATGGATAAAAATGAGAGTTTGGAAATTTCTGCTGAAAACAAAAGGAAATACATTAGACACTAATTTACTTCAAGGGCTTAATCAGGGCATCAATATTATTAGGAAAGAGGGAAATAATGCTTAAACTCTCATTGCTGATGGGTAATAATCTAATTACGTTCTATTTTAACACTTTATCATAAGAAAAGCTATACATCACAAATCATTTTTATTTGATAGCTTCTTGCTTTGCATACATTTTGAGCAGAGGATTTTAATTCTACAAGCATTAAAAAGTTTAAAAAGAAAATTAAAATTACTCTATTTTTACTGATTTAATAGAAACGGTAGGTAAAATTATATTTTCAGATAAAATGGTGCATAGTTGCACCTAATTTGTATAAATCTCTACCTACTTTGGCATAAAAGATGCAAATATAACCAAAGAAATATTTTTAAGTTTTATCACTTGTAAACCTAGGTAATGTAATTTAATCGATTTGGAACTCTATTCTTAAACTAGCTTAGTAAGAATATTATGCATAATATCAGCGAATTTAGCTATTAACTTTTCCTCGGTTTTCAACATCGATAAGTCCCTTAGGGGTTTTGGGGTTTTGGGGTTTTGGGGTTTTGGGG